TTTTTTTAGTGCATTTCTTCCCCTGCTTTGTTGGGAAGACTGAGGCTCCCTTACTCCTGCATGAAGCATGGAGTGGTGTGAGCAGTCCCTCTCTCCTCCTCAAACCAGACAGTTTACTTCGCTTTGGGCCCTTGTGCTACCAGAAAGTAACCCTGTTTGGTTGTGAATGCTGAGGCAGCTGCCGTCTTCTGTGTGTGCTGCTTTGGTGTCTCTTTTCCCATCCCTCCTGTTGTCTAAAGAGTCTTAAGTAAGAGTACTGGAACCAAATGGGGTTGGGGTCTGATCTAAGGAAGGATTGAGTATGCGTTTTCCCAACAGGAATTTGGCTAGTGTAAATTTTTTTAAGGGTCCCAGTGATGGAGTTTGTACCAACTCTACTGTTGATCCCTGTTTTCTGCTCATCACTAGGAGATCCCTTTTGGATCTCAGGTGACCTGAGAGAAGACAGGGGAACATGAGATACTCGAATGCAGAGTATTCTTTGCATTTTGCCTCTGGCATTATCTGTCAGCCTGAGCGGGGATGTAAGTTGCTCTACTGCCAGAGCAGAGCAAACCCAAACTCTACTTCCATTTTCCAAGCAACTGTTTGGTATGTAAAAAAAAAAAAAACCAAAAAAAACCCCAACAAACACCAAACCCTAAATAACCCTCTCTGTTACAGTGGAAGAAAATGGTTTGGGATGTGCTTGAGTTAATGCATGAAATCATGGTCTGTTGCTGTGATGGTGAGATTGCGTCAGTGCTGTGAGTGTCTCAAAGGCAGCTGAAGGTCTGGAAGAGGCTGCTGGCAGGATCTCTGCCAGTTTGTCACATTCACTCAGTGTCATGTGTTGATCCCCTCAGATACTTGTTGCAGCTCTTGCGTATTTGATAATACCTCCTTGTCTTTGGAGGGCGTGTCTGTCTTCAGAGCGATGCTTTTGCAATGAAAGTCCCAACAGGACTAACCCAGAAAAATCAACAGCAGCATTAACTTCCACGGCAAATGTCATTCTGCATTTCCATTTTTTAAACTGTGGGGTTTTGTTTTCTTCCAGGCATTTAAATAGAGACTGCATGGTGTAAAACTGGAAAAACACCAAATTAATATTGTTCATTTGAATTTTCCTCAGCGTTGCTAGATATTTATCCCCATGACCAGTGAGACTCCAGCTGCTTGATAAGTTAATTTCTTTAGTGAGTAACTCTTACCTCCGCAGCGAGTCCTGTAATTGGTATTAGATGTAACATGCATATTGTGTATGCACAGATGCTGAGCATGTGTTAACAATTTAATAAAAAAAAAAAAAAGGGGAGAAAAAGGGCCTTTAGTACAAGAACAAGATATGCTTTGCTTATAACCAGAGCAGACTCACTATATGACTTACGGAGAGCTGTTCTCTAGTGAACAGAGCCAGCACTGAGTCTGTTCCAGGTTGTGCCCCTGTCTGCTACTCTGGGCAGATCTTGTTCTTCTGCTTTGCTTGCTTTTCTGTAAAATGGTGACCAAGACCACTGTTACAAAGCTGTTTGAGATCTCCAGCTCCACAGTGTAAAGTAGTGATACCAGTCACTAATGTAGGAGAAGCAAAACTTGCTTGGACAGCAGATTGCCGGATGCGGAGTTGTGCATGCTGAGAGCTGGAGTTTGATGCTTTATCCCCTTAAAGCCGGCTCTTAAGTGGCTAAACTTCATGCAGATTATAGGCAGCCCTCCAACTCCTGGTTTACTGTTGATGCAGCGCTCTGTAGGATATCTGTCCGTGCTATAATGAGCCAGGGTCATTTTGCCTTTAAACCTTTTTGTGTGTTCATTTGTTCTGAAAATCCATTGGGCATGAGAGCTCCGTGCTGCCCGGCACATTGTGCAGCTCACTGTGAGTCCGTGCGTTTAACAGGAGCACGGCACTGTGGCCAGGAGCCAAGGAGGCTGGCTTTCAACCCGGGGGCAGAGCAGTAAATTTGTAGGAATGGACAAGCTTGGATTGTCTGTTATGTAAGGATTTTATTTAATACTCTAGCCACTCATCTACAAGAATATTATTGATTCAAGGCTGGCAGCTAGTCAGACTGATTTATGTCCTGAATTGTAAAGCTTTTTGATAAACACTGGATATCCACAGTATTCTGTAATACCTGACTGGTTTGGGCTGTTCCAGCTGGAGCTGTGCCTCTCTGTGTAATCAGGTTGGATATAGGGGAGTCTGACCCCCAGGGTCTCTTCTGCACGGTTCAGTGCTGTATCCCACCACTGTGCTTGCCTTGAAGTGTTGATGGAGGGCTGGGACCTGAGTGCTAGCTCATCCTCTCCCATGGGGTGTCCTGGGCTCTGGGCACCTGTAGGCTTAGCAGCCTGGAAAGAAACGCCTGCTCCAGTGGTCCTGAGTGCCTGCCCCATCCAAAAGGCTGATGAGCAGGGGCTGCTGGTGTCACTCCCTCCCTGTCTGACTGCTTTCAAGTGGAGAGTTCAAGGTCTGGCCTTAGCGGACAATGCCCTGGCTTGTTGCTTGTTGAGGTTTGATTAGGGACTCACCGATGTTTTATAAAAAAACCAAACAACTTCTACAAAGTTATTTCATATACTCAGAGTAGGAAGCCTCATGTAGTTGTGGAAGCCCAAAAGCGACCCCCAGTCTGCCCTGGGTGCCAGATTCCTCTCCTGGCTCTGCAAGTGACTTGCTATGTATAATCTTGGGAAAGTTACTTCATTTACCTTTTCCTGGAACTACAGTGTAAGTGTCTATGCTAGGTCAGCCCCAACATCTATTTA